AATTGGCAATTCGGAAATCCAGTAATCACGAGGAAATAAAGAAATTTGGGGCTAATCAAGAATTTAGCACAAAGAAAAAACCTGATTCCCTCTTCCACCACATCTTCACCATTCCGCTAACATTGTTTTGGCGCGGGAATATTTCATTAAAAAGTTCACAATACCTTTCACATGTTAATTCATACATGCCAAACGATCTTGACGGATTATATAATTTATTGACTTAACCTAAAATCAACATCACAGAATTTTGGTTGGTGTGCAAACTCACATCGAAGATTTCAAAAAAATCCATGTGGGAACACGTTCAACGTAACCACAAATTGCTATGATTTCTATGCTTTTACATAAATAACTTATAATGTTTTGGTTATTCTCTTCCGCATTTTTTCAATTCTCTTAGCTCCCAACAGCAAAGACGAGTCGATGCCTTCAAAAATGATTAAAGGAATTGAAAACTTCATGCTGTACATTTTCATTTACACCTATGCGGTTATTTCCGGGATACTCTTCGTTGGGATACCACTTTTGAAGGTTTGGCTGATTAAAAGAGAAAACATGGGAAGGTTCAAGGATCGATCTGATGGTAACTTTTTTTTTTTTAAAAAAAAAAAAAAGTTTTGAATTTTAAGATTGAAGTCTAAGAAAGTTCGGTCATTACATAGTATCGGAGAAATTGGACACGCTCGATCCTCACCACGGAAAACACAGAACTCTTGTCGTCGATGGGAACACGTTTCATTATGTCGAGGCCGGCAACGTTAATGGTCCATTGATCCTATTTCTTCACGGTTTTCCTGACGTATGTATCCGCTCTGCACACCAGAATATTCAATTAGGCGTGTTCATATGTTATCTCAATCGAGGGAAACTCCTCTAACCACATTTTATTATGTATATATATATGGATATTTTATGTACATTTTTCTTATTTTTTGCCGAATTGCAGTTCTGGTACAGCTGGAGATATCAATTGGAAGGTTTAAAAGAAACGGGTTATCACTTGGTAGCCGTTGACATGGTAATTACAAGGATCTTTCCTTCTCAACAACTTGTGCCGTATTGTACACATGTTTATATTTACCGAGAAAAACAATCCATTAGCGTGGATACGGTGGAAGTCATAAGCCGAGAGAAATAAACGAATACAATTACGACCACCTGTTAGGGGATATTCGTGGATTCATACAAGAGTTATCGCCTAGTGGGCGCGCTGCATGCGTAGTCGGTCATGATTGGTGAGTACCATGCACAACCTCATACTTAAAGAATCACGAATGCATGTTGATGTCGTTTGATCGTAGGGGCGGTGTGCTGGCTTGGCAAGCCGCTGCGCAGAGCTGGGAGTGGGATCATGCAGATCAATCGGGTTACATCGAACGACTTATAATCCTGAATGCACCGCACACTCTGGTCTTGAGAAATAGTATACTCCAGAAATTCCTTGACTTGGTTCGTTTCGGAAATTTGAAATCCCTGATCAGTAACCCTAGAGAAACC